GAACCCGCCACCTTAGGTGTATGTGGCTGGCGTCTTAGCCACTTGAGCCACAGGCACTGAGCCATGATCTGTTACTTTGTTAATTAGTGACATTTTAATTCAACAATTCCTTCATTTATTAGCTGGAATTCTAAAAAAAAAAAAAACTTCCCAAATCTAGTATTTGATCTCTCAATGATAAAGTATATAGGAAAGGCAGGATAAATGCTCATCTTTCCTTTTACTTGCAATTTTTAAAAATGATGATTTAGGTTATTATTCTCCAAATGCGACCAATTAAGTGTTGTTTTAAAGTATTATTATAAACTCTAGAGCTAAACATATTCAATGCATTTTAATCCATTCCAGTTATTATCCACATTGAGGTTCAAACTGTCACACTTTGGTCAATGGAAGCCTCTTCATTTGGGCCCTGGAATGCTTTTGCTGTCAAGTATCGTCAGTTTTCTTGCTATCTGGTTCCAGCCTTCCAAAATGCTCTAGGTTCATCTTTCAAATTTCCAGCATTAAAACCCTAGCTTCTTTCGGTGGAAAATGTTACACTAAGATTGCAATCTGTGTACAAGGGAAGATCAGTTCTGCTGGGTTATTGTTTCTAGACCTTCTCAGTGGACAGAGCTAGTAAGTTTAGTGTGTGTATAGACACACACGTGCACATGGACCTACATATACCTGTATCTAAATATAAAATATCTCACAAGTTCTGACACTTCAAATTCAGAAATGTGGTTTTGACATTTTGATGGTGTGTCTTCTAGCTAGATGTTCTTTATTCTAAGAGATGCTAGAATTAAAATGTCATGTAATTTATTCACATACATATACCAGTCACAGAATAATGACTAATATTCTCATCACTTTTACAATTACTGAAAACACCTAAATATTTTACCCATGTTCTCCCTCATTGTCTATTCATTATTTATTTATTTATTTGAGACAGAGTCTCAAGCTGTCACCCTGGGTAGAGTGCTGTGGCATCTCAACTCACAGCAACCTCAAATTCCTGGACTTAAGTGATTCTCTTGCCTCAGCCTTCCAAGTAGCTGGGACTACAGGCACCTGCCACAACGCCCAGCTACTCTTTGGTTGTAGTTGTCATTCTTGTTTGGCAGGCCAGGGCTGGATTCAAACCTGCCACCTCTGGTATATGTGGCTGGCATCCTAGCCACTGAGCTACATAGGCTGAGCTATAGCTGAGCGTATTCATTTTCTGTTTTTTTTTTGGTTGTAGCCGTCATTGTTGTGTGGAGGGCCCGGGCTGGATTTGAACCTGCCACCTTAGGTATATGTGGCTGGT